GACACAACACTTTTCATTTTCAGAAGCTAGCTTCTGTCCGTGTATCCTCTTCAATATCGCCCCTTTGAGGACGGAGGGTTTCCGGAGCCACGCCTGGTGCCTATTTTGGGCTTCTCACTAGAAACACATGTTTCAGACAGGGTTACTACTGTGTGCCTTGGAAATGACAGAGAGTCGCTACTTCATGTGCCACAAAGCTGCCAGTTGTCAGGGTCATTCTTACTTGATTGTTATGCACTTTATATATCTCTTAAAGTAGTCAGAAGCTGTGTTGGATTTTGGAAGGCTTGGGCTTATTTATCATACTTTTTCTTATTCTAGGTTATTATGGAGGAAAGCTCTTGGAGGTTTTGATAAATGACTATTTCCTAAATCAAAGTAGACATTCTGGATTGTCTGGGGTTGTAATATATTCCTGTAGTTACTTTATGGTCTTCAAAGCATTTGTCGCTGAATTCTCCCATTTTACAGACAGAGAAACTAGAAAATAAGGGACTAGACCAAGACCACGTTGCTAGTAGGTTGTGTATGTTCAAATCTTCTCCATTCTGGAAGGACCAACTCAAATGCCTCTTCTGAGAAGTCTTTTCTTAGTGTCCCCTGATTTCTACTTTTGATATTTACCGCATTCTGATTTGTAATATTGTGTTCACATATATGAACTTCACATACATGAACATACATGAACTTCTTAAAAGCAGAGACTGTTCCACATTTGTGTGTATCCCTCCACCAGTGAGAATTCTTCCTTTTGGGTGCTAACCTTGGGCATGTTCCCACACCAGCCAGCAGTTTCTTCTTTTCTTCTTGGCTATGGCTTTGAGGTCTGTACAGGTGTATTGTGGGTACTGTTGCTCATTCAAGCTTGTTGCCTTGTTTTTAACATATAGATATTTAATGAGAGCTTTGCAAATGTTTATAAGATGTTTTAAAAATTAGATAGTATTTGAATCTTGTCTTTCCTTCATATCCCTGATGATTGCACTTAGCACTTTCCAGGGCACATAGTAGGTGCTTAGTAATGTTTCTTAGATTAATTAACAAGCATTTATATATTCACCTTCTCCAGCTTACACTTTTATTTCTCCCGTTCTCATATATGACTATCTTTTTATATGTTTACATCTTGAATTCCCAACTGAACTGTAAGCTCCAGAGGGCACAATGATGTCTTTTATTTGTGCATATGCCTCCTTAGAACATCTTCCATGCAGTATAGTCTCAGTAAATCTTTGCTGATTGCTTTTAAATGACCAGTGTGTGATAGCATACCAGCCAACAAAGCATGGTGGAGGCTAAACTGTCCAGTGTGAGCGGTTTTATTTAAAATACATGTTTTGGATATGTATTTTAAATAGACATAAACATCCTAAAAACATGTATTTTCAACAAAGATCACTAAAGTAGGAGGGAACACCCAGGTCCATATTGAAGGGGACGAGAATAGTGCAGACGTAGAGAGACTTTTGGGCTCCGCTGGCTGAGCTGTCTGCGAAGAGGGATCTCCAATGGGTGGTCATTGGCTGCGTTTCTCTGTTGCATCAAAATATCTTTTGTTTCCCCTCAGAGCACATATCTTCATTTTCTTGTTGTATGTGGATTCTTTTCAGGTGTTAAGTGTTTGATATTTTTAAGGGTTAAGGTTGTTATCCTCATATATCAAGGACTCTTCAATAATGGAAAGCCTAATCACTAAGCTGCCAGAATATACTTTTTGAAAATTGATACCTCTGGTACCTGGCCAGTTGGTAAGAAGAAGTTTACTAAGCAGTGCAACCATCCTATTGACTGAACTCACCATTTTTTTCATGGTCTTGATGTCAGACAGGTGTCTTTAATATGCTTTTGTCTACCCCTGGGAATGTTCCAGTTACCACGCTGAAATGTTTAAATACCTACCTTTTTTATATTAGAACTATAATATAATTGGTTTGTTAATTAGGAGGACACTGGAGAGTTGGCTGTGAGAAGCTCTGACTTTGATAAGTGGTCATTTAAAGTAAGGGCATTTGCTCCACATTTAAGGTTCTCTGTGTTCTCAAATTTAAAATGTATGGCTTGAGATGAAAGATTCTGCACGCTTCCATGAATTTATTCCTACTTCCAACATTTTATATTTAATGCACTCAAGATACTGTGCAATGGGTAGAAACCATTTTATATGATGCAGGGTACAGTATGCACAAGGGATAATTTATTTTTTAAATTTGCTGTCTATTATTAGACTTCTAATTACTCAGGCTGAATGGAAGCAGAAAGGTCTCATTCTTATTAATAACTGCCAGTTATTTAGCCAGAGATGACACACAGAAGGAGTTCATTTAGATAGTTTAGACTTAAAAAGCAACATTTCTCTCCAAGGTGTTCTAAACACACTTTGTTTTGTTTTGTTTTTTATAACTCCAGTTCTTCACATTTTAATTATTCTAAGAAAATCTGCGGTTTAACAAATATCTAGAAATGATTGGTCTAATAGCCTTCCTTCGTGCCCACATGTCTCTGAAGAAAGTCAGGCTTCACTGTGGTTATAAAAAGAATCTCTACAGCAGATTTATGTTCTGTAGAATATTTGGATTAATATCATTAAGCATTTCTGGAGAACCTAACATTCAATTGCTTTTCATTTCTTGTCATCTCCCCCTACAGAAAGTGCACAATTCTGTTTCCCTAAGGAGGTAAACTTGCTTGAAAAGTAAAATTTTCACTAAAATATCTAATTTGGCTTTCTTAAAAAATATAAATCTTCCTTTGTTACGTTTTAGTCTTAAGGATATAGAGTTCCAAAATGACTAATTTGTACAGTAATAATATATCATTCTCTTTTATTAATCTGAAAATGATACTGCCCACTTTAGTTTGATTTGTTTTGATGCCAGTGTAGAGAATTTTATTTCTTACCAAAGAAGTTTCTTCTCTGTGGTTGGAAGGAAATACAAAGCCAGGACTGGTGTGGGACACATGGGACCTTGCATGGGTTTGCAGAGGGCTAGGAGAATCAGTTTCCCACAGGATAAAACTTTATGCTGAAGCACTGGAAGAGTTCTTTTATGTGCCAGGTGCTATGCTTAGTGCTTTAGTTGCATTATTTCATTTATTCCTCATAATCCTATGGGATAGTATCCTCATTTCTATTTCTGTGAAAACCGGATATCTAAATATGGATGAGGAGTAATTTTTTAACGAAAACGCCCCATTCCCAGACTATGCCAACTGCAGGTTTGCTCAGAAGCATAGAGTTGGTGGGTTGGATGCCAAGATTAAATGTGGTCTTTTTTTTTTCTCATGGACTTGCAGTTTGAAATAGGCAGGAGAATACAGAAAGTATCTTTAATGCATCCAGTTGTACTATTTGACACAAACTGATTTTTAAAAACATGTTATATTTTTGATAGTAGTCTTCTTGTAGTAACCGGCTGGGCTGTAACATGGTTCATACCCACTCTGCTTGATTTCTTCATTACTAATTTCTTAACACCAAAGCACTGATTTTGTCAAAACCATTTAGAGGCCTCCAGTTTAAAAATAAAAGGTGCAGAAGATTGGGGATGGTGTTTCCCCTCTTGTCCTGTGATAGCCAACACTTGAGAAATCTTATAATGTCCACAGCCCAGATTATAGGTGTGCCTATAAGCATCACAGAAAAACAGAAGGGTTAACCACCGAAGGCAAGAGTTTGAGATATTAATATGCTTGACTTGAAAGTTATATTAAGAAAAATGTCAGATGATGTGAAAGGAAAATTGTTCCACGAGGGAAATACTACTGCTGAAACTCCAAGTGGCAGAGGTTTTTAATATTCTCTTAGTTCCACATCCATTTAGTTCTAGTAGTGAAGTGGGTCATTTAAGAGGGGAGGTGGCCTAGGCTAAAAATAAAGTTTCCTTGAAACCAGATGAGAGTCTACCATGCCAAAAATGGAATCCTGACTCTTCTCACTCTCTAGAATGTAAATAAGCAGAATTTTGTGTCACATAAAATGGTCTGTGGAAAACAGGACGTTCACATTTTATGGTAGAGAGAGGCTAAAACAATCATCAGAGTATAGCTGTTCCGTGGAACATGAAGCAGCAGTTTAAAATAATATGAAGTCTAACATATTCTGATTTCAAAAGACCTCCAAAACAAGGAAAGTGCAGAATAACAGGTATTGCATGATTTCATTTATGTAGATGTGTGTGAATGCGTACAGTTGTAGGTATATACATGCATAGAAAATACAAGAAGAATAAAATACAGGAAGAATACACATGAAAATGTTTGGGAAAGGGAATGAAAGTTGGGTAGAAAAGGGAGATTTTTGTGGATTTTACTCTGTATGTTTCTGTCTTTAAATTTTTATACACACACACACAAACACACACACTAAAGAAAACTATATGAACAGGGAAAGCCAAGCTTGAAGGTCTCAGTGAAGCTGTACAGTGGTTAAGAGCGTAGGCTCTGGAGTAGAAACAGCCAGAGTGTGAATCCCAGCTCCTTTACTTACTGGCTATCTTCCTTCTGCAGGTTAACTTTTGTGCCTCAGTTTCCTCAAATGGAAAACAGGGACAAGGGTACTTTGTCATACAGTTGTTACAAGGATTAAATAAGTAATCCATGAGAGAGCTCATGAGAGAGCATATAGACCAACAAACATTCAGTTTATATTAGTTATTATAAATTCTAATTCTTAGACCACATCTAGCTATACTCAATTCTTTGTGCAAACTTTTCCGTTAAAAATGTTTCTCGTGACAGTGTTAGTAATCACAATGTATTTTCTGAAAGTTTGCATTGTAGGTGCTAACAGTACTGTCCTATTTTTTCCCCACTGGTGCTCAGAACTTCAAAAGGAAGAATAAAAACAAGTGGAATTATCTTGTTTTTTGTGGAGTGCTGTACATTCCGTCTGTGGAGTGCTCCTGAATTTGCGTCTTTGACCACTTAATCGGATGTACATATTATTAACACTATAGAAATGTAAATATAAATATGTTCTGAGGTTTTTCTTTGTTCCTTAGGAAGACTATGACCGTCTGAGGCCTTTATCTTACCCAATGACCGATGTCTTCCTTATATGCTTCTCTGTGGTCAATCCAGCCTCATTTCAAAATGTCAAAGAGGAGTGGGTACCAGAACTTAAGGAATATGCACCAAATGTACCCTTTTTATTAATAGGAACTCAGGTAAGTCTGGTTTGATTTTCCCCATTAAGAATAAACTCTGGGGGGTGGGGGGAGAAAAAAAAAAAGAATAAACTCTGTGGTCTGTTGTGGTGGGTTGCTCTCAGAAAAATGGTCCCAAGGTTTAGCAAATGCTGCATGTGTTTAATCTCAGCTGCAGGTTAGTAAGTTTTATCTATTTTTGGAAAAAATAGTGCCAAAAGAAAACAATTATATTACTAGTTTTTAAAAATTAAGTTCTTTTGTATAATCTTTTTTTTTGTATGTGGGGATTAAATGGGATTACATGTTTTGATTTATCTTTAAAGACTTGTAATATTATGGGACATTATTGACCTTTCTTAATTAGATTGATCTCCGAGATGACCCCAAAACTTTAGCAAGACTGAATGATATGAAAGAAAAACCTATATGTGTGGAGCAAGGACAGAAACTAGCAAAAGAGGTAATGGAACATTTTCAGAATTTAAAACTAAGTGTAAAAGAAGCTAAGGTAATAGAAGCTAACATTTATTGTGCATTTACTGTATGCCACGCACTGTGCTGAGTGCTTTTTGTGCATTAGCTCGTTTAATCCTTGCCCTGACTTGGTAGGGAGGTCTGACTATTTCCCCTGGTATATAGAAGAGGCCTGGAGATGTCAGGTAACTTTCCCAAGGTCCCGCAGGCAGTAAATGGCAGCGATGGGTTTCATTCCAAAGCCTGACTCCAGGGCCCTGGCTCTTACACTTGTGCTTCACAGCCAACAGTATTTTCCAAAAAAAGTCACATATAGAAAGAGGCATCAGAAACAGGTGCTGATACTTTCAGCCCTTCTTAATTAAACATTTATACTGTGCCAAATCAGGCTCTGTCTTCAGTTAAGACTCATTGAGTTAGGTAGTGGAGCAACATAGGATGACAGTTTAAATTTGTGGTTAAAACCAAACAATTATGGCTAGGTGTGAAAAGAAATGTGTTGAAATTTCCTCCAATCTTTTTATGAAAAGAGAATAGAAAATATTAGCATTTTAAAAACGTGTGTAACAGTGATGCACATCATACCTTTTAACATATATTCTTCCTCACCCCAAAGCTAGGTTTACTTTTTTCTTCATTTAGCCCTAACGTTATTGGATTTTATTTTTTAAATGTTGGGACTTTACTAGGACTTTGCTGAAACAGAATCTAATAAGGACTTTTAAAATGTACTATCAGGAGGCCAAAAAAAAAAGCAAGAAAACTTTCTGGAGGACACTTTTTCCTAAAGCAAAAGATAAATGGCTTCACTAGCAAGTCACTTTAGAAAATTCCATGTATTCAATTTTGTAATCTTGGGGAGAGAAGGAACTTCTAAGTGTCATAAAGGTAAAAGTCATAAATGAAAATATTGATGATTTAACTACATAAAAATTGAATACTATATCAAGTGCCAGAAATAAAGTAAAAAGTCACATAACCAACTTGACATGTATGGCAGGAAGACGGTTAACATCCTTAATATACAGGAACTCCTTGCATATGAATTAATCAGAAGACGACCTATATCCCAATAGAAAAATGGGCTAAGAACTTCCTTAAGAGGAGGAAGTATGTTCAAACTTGTTAGTAGTCCAATGTTAAGTTCAGTTTCCACCGATAAACTAGCACAAAATGAGAAATTAATTATAATACCTGATGTTCCAAGGGTGCAGGGAAACAGGCACTCTGTTGTACTACTGGTCGTTGAATCAAAGCAATCTTGGTGATATGCAAAAGCCTTAAAATCATGGACACTTGATCAGGCAATTCCATATGTAGGAATTTATCTTAACCAAATTATTAGGAAGTTGGTCCAAGTGTACAAAGTTTCAGTTAGACGGGAGGAATAAGTTTTTTGAGATATAATTGCACAACATGGTGACTACAGTTAATAATAGTGGATTGCATATTTCAAAATTGCTAAGAGTAAATTTGAAATGTTCTTACCACAAACAAATGCTAAGTATCTGAAGCGATGGATATGTTAATCAGCTTGATTTAATCATTCCACATTGTGCATATATATAACATTACTTTGTACCCCATAAATATTTACAAATTATAATTTGTCAATTTATAATAAAAAAGAAAATTATTAGGGATGGGCTTAGATAGCTACAAAGATGCTGCATTGTTTGTAATGGCAAAAAAAAAATCCTGCATCTATTAAAAATTCATACTCCAGAGTATCTATTGAGATATTATTATCTACTATGTAGTTTAAGAAAAAGAGTAGTTGCAAAACAGTATGACCCCATTTCTAGACCTATCAGCAGCATTTGGCACAGTTGGTTCCTTCTTGAACCAGCTCTCTCCTCCATCTCTTCATCTCCCTGGTCTCTGAATGTTCAAGGCCCCAGCAATCAGCACTCAGCTTCCTGGGTGTCTTTTCTTCTATAGCCACACCCACTCCTTAGACCTAGATGAGCCACTTTCAGTCTTGTGGCTTGAATAGGCTATAAGTGAAGATTCCCAGATTTCTGTCTCCAGCCTGAATCTCTTTATTCCCTAAACTCTATACTTGGTTACCCATTGTTCACTCAACAAGTCCATCTCGGTGGCTAAGCGTCTGAAAATTAACATGTTCAAAATAGAATTCCTAATTTTACCCTCCAAGCCAGTCCTCCCTTTCTCTCACACCATACACTCAACCCTTCAGCAAAACATATTGCTCTACCTTCAGAACACATCGAGAGTCCAGACACTTCTTTCTCACGGTCTCCTCCTTCCGCCTGGTTCAGGCCTCCTTCATCTCTGGCCTAGATTACTGGAACAGCTTCCAACTCAACTTTCTGCTTCTGTCTGTGCTCCGTGATAATCTGTTTTGAGCATAGCAGCCAGCGTAAGTCTTACAGCGTCAGCCCAGTCAGGTCAGTGTTCTGCTCAGAAAGAATCCTCTAGTGGGGTCCCCAGCTCACTCAGAGTAAAGGCTGAAGTCCATATCATGGCCTCACTCCAGGCACACTGGCCTTCTTGCCGTTCCCCCAAAGTTCTACCTCAGGACCTTCGTATTATACTTTTGCTGCTCTCTCTACCTGGAATGTTCTTCCCTGTGTGAACGTTATTCATTCTTTCACTCCTTTCCGGTCTCGGCTCACATGTCACTTTTTCTCAGTGTGATACTGTTCCTTGAATGCTCCATGTATGCTTCTGCATCAGGGTCTTTGCGTCTTGTCGCCCCGTCTGCCTGGAGCTCTTCCCCTAGGCATCCCTCATTGCTCAAACTTCTCCACTGAGAAGCCTTCCCCGACCACCACCACTGTCCTCAGCACTCCCCTGCTCCCTCTGTTTTCTCCCCATAGCATTTGCCGCCATCTGCTCTATATTCCCTTCTTGTGCCTCTGCCCCAGTGTCACGTAAGCAACTCTAAGTGCCACGTAGCAGGGACTTGGCTCTTCTGTTCAGTTCCTTGATGTACCCTCAGCACCTGAACAGTGCTTGACATATAGTAGATACCCAATAAATATTTGATGAATGAAAGAATTTTTCATGGAAAGTCTAGAAGGACATCACTAGTATTTAAATAGTTGGCTGTATCTGGGGGATTATGAATATGGATGATGACTATTCTTTTTGCATAGCTGTATTTCATAATTTTCCTTATAATGATGTGTTTGTATCATACTGATTGTATAAAAAGGATTTTATATTTGTGATTTTTTTTCTCCCTCCCAGATAGGAGCATGCTGCTATGTGGAATGCTCAGCTTTAACCCAGAAGGGATTGAAGACTGTTTTTGATGAGGCTATCATAGCCATTTTAACTCCAAAGAAACACACAGTAAAAAAAAGAATAGGATCAAGATGTATAAACTGTTGTTTGATTACGTGAGAAACATCTTCAGTGGCCAAGGAAACTGTCCATTTCTCTCAGAAAGCATAGGAAATGCTACAGCTATACCCAGACCTCTTATAGATAATGAAGCAGTTTAAAACTTGAAAGAAAAAAAACAAACCTGTCCTCAGAATTCCGTAAAGTTCATTAAGAATGTTTCTTAAAGGTCTAAGAAGCAGTAAACAGCATCTGAAGCCACAATCTATTATAAATACTTTATTTCAACTAGAAGGTACAATCTCTCAGGGGTTTCATAGTTTAAAAAGCTACAATCACATCATGTAACTACATAAAAAACAGTGCTGTAAATGGAGCTGCTTGCCTTTGACCACATACATTTCTGCACAGCCCATATGGAATCTGCACAAAGAAATATCTTCTCCCTTTGCTCCAATTAATTGTTCTTGTACGTAAGTTGCTTTCTATTCCAGTATATCCAGAGTGGTGAAGTAACAAGGCCAGCCACATAGCCAAAGGTCGCTCCAAGCGTACAGGAGATGGGCCATACCTGAGGAGAGAATGTATGAGATCAAGAAAGAACAAATGTTTTATTATTACTTGAGCACAAGTGTAACCTAAATATTTCTATATTAAAGCTTAATGTGCTTTCTTAAAGAATGCCAAAAGTGTAATAAGGTCATAACTGCATTTATCATGAACACTAAAAAATGTACACATTTTGGTTAATGTGCATTAAACTGTAACAAGGCTTCTGGCAATTGTAGATTTAGTTTGATGCTCCCCAATCTGCATGAGATACATGCTAAAATTACAAATTAAAATTTTGGGTCAGATTTTGCCATAATCCTGGGTTCAATTTAGCTCTCTGAATTAGCTGGTATTTTTTTTTTTTTAATTCCCACATGGCTGTGTATTATCAAATGAAATTAGAAATGTGTATGCTGATCAAACCACAAGAAACTTTCTTAAATTGTGTTAAAGAGAAAAGACCTAGAATCCAAGCATGTTACGTGGAATGTATAACAGAGCAGCTGCTTCCACTTTTCAGATATAGATGTTGGAACCATAGCAGAAGTTCTAGAACTACAACTTATGTACACACCTAGAGTGTAACTTAAACAAAATATTGGCTTCGGATGGCAATTTTCTCCAGCCATATTACATTTCAAAATTGTACATCAAGCAAGAAGTAATGTTGATTTATTTTATTCACAAGCAGTGCGTGTTGGTCCCTAGCTTTAAGGCTCAGCTTAAAAAAAAAAATAGTTGGAGACAAATTTTCACATTCATCTGTGAAGCTTATCTGGTATACTGGAGCCATTTCTAATCTTCTCTGGGGGGAATAGGCCAAAGAACTGTGTTAGAGGTGAACCATCTTACTTACTAGTTCTATTACCTAATTCAGCTTCTTTGTTTGGTCTGGTGTGGATTTGCCATATTCCAAATGCCATGCAACAGACAATAGTGTTAGAGCTTCCGTATGAACAACCTAACACAGTTTAGAGAAACATAATCTAATCCATAATTTTTTTTCTAGTCTTTCCTATGTTTAAACTTGCTGTTTCCTAAATTATGATTTCTTTATATCTTTGGTGGGCTTCTTCTGTTAATTTCCATGACTTGAGCTTATAGCTATGTCTACTGCACAGACTGGGTAATGGAACACTAAACTTTTATACTTGAAAATGACAGCCTTAAATGCTCATATCAGTCACAAATCTAGGATGTACTGTCTTGTTGTATGTAAGCTTTGTAGAGATTTTTAGAAAATATAAGCATCATCTTCCCCATTGAAGAGTGGAGAGAGTCTAGTGGATAACTAACTATTCAGAAGTTTTCTCTCTGAATTGGACACTGGATGTCTTTATCCCAAGAAATGGTGGTTCACATTAAGTATCATGGCCTTATGTATGCTCAAATAGAATCTTATGTAACTTGTTTAATTTTGGTCTGTTATTTTTAGGTAGAATTGAAAAGAATTGTATAAATCAATTAAAATATGCGCTAAATTGTCCAACACATGGTAAAAAAGGAATTAAGACAGTAAAGTATTATACATTTCCAACTTGCCTATGGGGATTTGATGGGTTGTTTTTTTTTTTGTTTTTTTTTTTTCCAAATTCACATCTCTGAAATCCTTTACACTTGGTTTACTAGCCAATGAAAGTTAAAATCTAGAATTTGTCCTACCCTAAGAGAAATGGATTAGGAATCTGGAAAGACAAACTGGTGTCACCTCTGTTTTCTTGACTGGGCCTCAGTTTCCTCATATTATTATAAATATGGGAGGTAGGACAGATGATCTCCAGTGTCTCTCCCATTTACCAACTCTTATGATTTTCTCTTATTCACAATAATCATTGTTGGACATTACCTTTTCAGCTTCACATTCTCCAGATGGTAAAAATCATGTACATAGATTACTAGAACTCTAAGCAAGATGATTGTCTTATCTGAACCTGAGGTGCCTTAGGTACTCTACTGACCTTGATGGGGTTTGGAGTTTCCCATTGCTTATTAAGAACTTTTTAATTGCTTTGGTTCTTTAGTATTTCTTTTTGCAAAATCCTTCCTACCACTTTAACTAAAAACCAAAGATTTCTTTTCTATTCATAAGCAGATTATAGAAAAATTGCCTTATTTTCTGAAGAGTGTCTTCATTAAATGCTTAGGTTTCTATAGAAATTCAGACTAATCACTGGAATGACTATTTCAAACTAATGAAATATCTAGAAAATAAAATGCTTCAAAAATATTTTACTGACATGAATTTTGCTAATGAAATACAAATACATTGCTTCAAATAATGTCATGTATGAATGAACTTAAATTTGTAGTTAGTCAGTTTTTGCATATGGAGAATTAGTTCTGAAGTTCTTAAAAATAAGTTTAGGGGCTCCCTGAAATCTTATTTAGTACTTCACTAACTTACACCTGTATTCTATCTCTACAGGTACATTTTAGGTTAGTCCATATTGAATTATCATATTTCCAATAAGCAGAGCTTGAATTAATGGATTTTGTTATTACTTAGTTACTTTAGATGCTGTTTCATTTGATTTTTAATTATTAATTTAAAATACCAAGTTAAATATTGGTTTATTGGTTGTTGCTTTTTAAGTGATTGTTAACAGTGTCCCTTCTTAACATATGGGGTTACAAATAAAATAATATGCATAGTTTACTATCTATGTAAAGCATTGAACTTTTTACCGTAGTAGTTTTTATTTAGCATCCTATGTAAACATTTGAGATAATATTCTTTCCTCGTTTTCCTCATGCTGTGAGTCTATTCATCACTGGCAGAGTGTGAGCACCTACACTTCATTAAAAAGCTCACTGTTAAAGTACAGGGAGAATAGTAATCCCTCATGAATCCCAGCCAAATTCCAGTTTGAGTTACTAAACTGTATTTTAATCACTTTGTAATTTCAGTATGGGTCTTTGTTCTCAAAGACATTCATACACATTCACACATTCTTTAAAATGCCGTACTTCACATCCAATAGGATGCCAAAAATGAAATGTTGGTTAAAAAATTTTTGTTTAATGAGGGGTTAAATCTTGGAACACTTGCTATTCAATGTTATATAAATCTCAAGAAATCCATGCCATCAGCAAATTAAATTGTTGGAATGGCTTGGAAGACTGCTAGTAATGGATCAGGCTTTGTACTTTCCTGAAATAAGTAGTCCTTAATTATAACATAGTTATTTTTTTAAAGAGAATTTCTTTATCCAAGGGCAATTTTCATGATTTTTGAGTATCAAGATAGGGAATGGCAAAAGGAACAGTTGAAGGGAGTTGAGGGAGGTTGCCCGCTAATAACCACTCCTCAAGCAATTTCCTACTAACTTTCTTATAATTGCTTTAAATTGTAAAGACTACACCATGACAAGAGAATTCATATTGACTTGTCTTAATCATGTATTTTCATAATTAGATCCAAAGGTTTTCCATTTAAAACTATTTCTTGATCTCACATATAGAAATGTTTCTATTTAACATTCTTCATGCTGCAAATAGGATTTTTTTTTTAAAAAATGGTATCATCTATTAAACATGCAATTCGCCTACATTACGATAAACATTTCTCCAAATTATGGTGATCTGAGATGGCTCTATAGAATTATCTGGTTTTGTTTGAGGAAAATAGAAAACTTAGAACAAAGACATTCATATAAAGGAAGGCATTCACAAGTGTTTGCCACCAAAATGACAATCTTTTTATCCATTTTTAAATAAATTTAAATGTTTTAAAAAAATAATCACTAAATAGGAAAACAACCTGTGTTGCGTAACAAAATATAATACAACTCAAGTGGGTAAGATTATTAAGATTACCACTAAAAAGAAAAACCTATTTTAAAATATGAGTGGCTACATCATGTGAAAAAATGTATCCTGCTTAGAGCACTATAGTTGCTCTTTCTCTAAGTCAAATGACTCCTTATTATGTATTTTCTTCATCACTTAAACTGAAAAAGGCCAGTGTTTTCTTAAAATAATCAACATTAACAAAGGCCCTATATTACACAGCATGGGGCCTGGGTATATGGTACCAATAAGAAGTTATTTTTCTCTCAGAAATAAAACAGTTTCATCT